GATTATTATTTTTTATGGAATAAATTACAGGTTATACCTAAGATGGTGAAAGAAAATCAATCTAAAAGCCAATAGAATGAAAGAATATTTGCTGAAGAAAAATGAGCTAATTTTTTAAAAAATACCAGTTCATTTGTTTGAATTAGAATCTTCAAAGCACATCAAGTAGGGAAGGCCCTCCTATTTTCTTCTAAAAAAAATTTAAAACAATTCTCTGTGTGTGTGTGTACATACATGCATACATGCCAATCTTCGATAAACAGATCCCAGGTTCCTTTGAATAAACTAGATAAGAATACAATAATGAAAAGTCAGATAAAAGCACATAAGGGCTGAGAGAATTCAGTTCAAGTTTAGTGGCTACACATAACAGATTCACCAGTCATAACCAGCTCTCTCTATCTACATACTACATCCTCCTCCTTCCTTCCTCTGGAGAAAGTGGTCAAGTCTGACTAGACTGCCTTAACTGATAAGCTATAATGGTAGGAAAAATAAGATTAAAAAAAAGTGACACTACCAAAATTCAAATTTTACTGAGAGCTTGATCTTTGTGATCACTGTGATAGGCCTTGGGGATAAAAAGATAGATAGAGTACTGGCTTTGGAATCAGAAGACCTATTTTTAAAATCCCATCTTTTTCACTAGCTGGGTTATCATGAGCAAGTTACTTAGCTTCTCTAGGCCTCAGTTTCCTCATTTGTAAAATAAGGGGATTGGATTTGATAGCTGGTTTCCTTGCTGGGCTGAAATTGACGGAGGCCAGTTCTTTTGCAGTTGAGTTTCTGTATTAGAACAAAATGAGACAGTCATTTAGCAATTACCAAAAAAAAAAAAAATTTACTTAACCATAGCAGAAGAAGCTTATTCAAGAAAGGTATGACATTGAAGATACTAGGAATTGATTCAACTGAGTGAAGCTCCTTGACTTGTGTTGTTACCAATTGTGATCCATTAACCAAGCATCTGAGAACCCTAGAACTATTCATATCTGCTTTGGGCTCAGAAGATAAAGCAGTGATGTCTGAGCTTTTAATCCCCTGAGCCAACCTACTCTTAAGGAAGGTCTTGATACCTTTTAAGAAAAAACTGGCCTAACTTGCATGGGGGGAGGGGATAAATATTGCTCCTACTATTTAACCTCTAAAGGCTCAAAAGGATCAATAAGGACCCTTTCAGCTCTAAATATATGATCCTGAATACTATGCGGCTAGAAAGTAGTTCACGTGAGAGAAAACTTTAGGGTTTTAGCAGACTTAACCCTCAATATGAGGTAAGTGTGATGGGACAACCAAAACAGTCAATAAAAGCTTAGACTACATTAATAGAAATATAATCTCCCAAGACAAAGCTGTAGTCTGATCTGGTCTGACCATATTTCGAATATTACATCCAGTTTGAAGCACCACATTTTAGGAGATAGATTTGGAGTATGTCCAGAGAAGGGTGACTGAAACAACGAAGGGTCTTGAAACTATCCAGCACGGCTGTTTAGCATTGAGAAGATTCTTCAGGTCATGAAAGGGATTTAGAGCTATTTATACTTGGGTATAAAAGGTAGGATCAACTGGGTGGAAGTTATTGGGAGGTTCAGCTTAAGAAAGCATTTCCTAACAATTAGAGCTGTCTAGAAATTGAGTGAGTTATCTTGGGGGATGGATTTTCTGTCACTAAAGTGTTTAAGCAAAGCTTGAATGACTTCTTGTGTGGGATGTTATAGATGGGATTCATATCTTGGGTTAGAGGTTAGATATGATGACTCAGACCTTAAAACTCAAGGATTCTATTTGTGAGCAAAATCAGGCAGTACTTTCTGGTAAATTTCCTTCTAGGAAATTGAAAAGAATTGAAGGTCACAGGAATTCTTCCTTGTACCATGTTCTAATGATATTCATAAATTGAATTTCTTGTTGGTGAAAATATCAGAATTACTTTTAGCAATATCAATCTTCTCTTGGAATGTAGCATCTTTTTATTTGATTTTTCCAAATTTCTCTTACTTTGTTCAGTGGCTTGCTGGCTAACAGGTACTTGCTTTTGGTGTTCCCAACTTACCTGTTTTCATTTTTATTACTCCTTTTCAGTATCATGAAAAGTACCACAAATAAATATTGCCTTCGAATTCCCAGTTGATTCAACAAATTTTGTGTCTCCTCTTGATAATTGGAAACATTTAGGATTTAGCCTAGACCAAGGTTGATACTCAGTTTTGCCAACCAAGTTTGATAGAATGTATTCAAATTACTGTTAATCACTTTGCATTTTTAATGATATTGCTTAATCTTTTTCTCTTCTGGAGTAAAAGACATGTTTGTGAAAATATATTAAACATCCTTTGCATAGGAAGATCTTATTCATCATTGGTAATACAGCGTATAGTGTTTTTATTTTTACTTGCTGTCTCAGAGGGACTATAAAACCAATGTGGTCACTTTGGTAAATTGTCAGTTTCAGTAGTAAATCTGCATCAGAGATTATCAGTTATCAACAGACATTTATTTAACATCTACTATATGTCAACTACTATCCTAGATATTGGGGATGCAAAGGCAAAAAAGAAATAGTCTTTGCCATCCGGCAGTTTGTGATATCCGGGAAGACAGCATGTTCTATTATAAGTACATACAAAGTAAATACATGGTAATTTTTTGTGGGATGTCACTAGCATTTGGGCTCATCAGGAAAGGCCTGTAGGAGATTAATCTTGAGCAGAGCTTTGAAGGGAAGTAGGGATTCCAAGAATAGAAGTGGAGAGGTACTATATGACAGGCATGGGGTCAGTCTGTATAAAGGAATAGAGACAGGTGATGTGGTGTTATTTCCTTTAGAGCACAGGATAAGCAAAGGAGAGGCAAATTGTGAAGGGCCTTAAGTGCCAAACAAGAGAAGTTTTATTTGACCCAAGGAGCCAGTGGAGCAGGAGAGTGATGTGGTCAGATCCTTTGACAAAATCACTAACAGAAGCAGAATTGATATGGTATTTTGTTAGCTTTCTAACTAAATGTTCTCACATTTGTGTCAGAAGTAGCGAGTTGCAATTTGACATAGATATAGGAGTGGAGGATACCATTTGATCTCTGTTCATCTGTACTCTTAAAGATGTTGCAGCTCTAATTGACTCTTGAGTCATAGTTTCTACTTGATATTACAGAAAAGCTTCAGTAATTTTAAAGGGGGATTATCAGAATTAGCTGACCAAGAATGCATAAGTATAGATAAAGAGGAAGAGGCATAGAGGACTGCCAATGAAAAAGTTAGATATGCTGTTGTCTTACGTGAGGAACAGCAAGTAATCCAGTGTCACTTGATAGGAGAGCATGGGTGGGGGGAGTGGGAGTGGGGTTGGAGAGGGAGGTGGTGGCGTGCTTATAAAGGTGTACAAACTCGTATGTGTGTCTGAAAGGGTTGCATAGATTTCTTTATTTTGTTGCTCTTTAAGATAGAATAGGATAGAAAAAGATTTGTAATTAGTATATTATTTATAATAAAATGGGTGCTGCTTTAAAAAATGTGAAAGTATATTAAACGTCCATTCCCTATGACTTTGTTTGTATTACTATTTTTGTAATGATTTTAGTGATTTAATCAAGCTATGTATTATATTCTTTAGGAAATTTTAGTGACATAATTTTTAGTCAACTGAGTGTTTCCTTTTCTTTTTTGATCACCTGGCATAGGATGGTCTCCTTCCTGGCCTCAGTTTGTGGGCCCCCTTCTCTTAGAGGAAGCTTTCTCTGATTTCCCCCTAGTCGTTAGTGCCCTCTCATTTAAATGTCTAGTAGTTATTGTATTTCACCCCATCCTCCCAGAATAACTAGCCCCTTGTTGGTAGGAATTTTTTTTTCTTTGTAACTTGCATATAATAGCTGCTTAATAAATACCCTTTCAAATGAATTAAAAATTGAGTGGTAAAATAGGACAGTGTTTGGAAAGCTAAGTTATGTTACATTGTGATTAAAAGCAAATATATTAATCTTCTGGCTGTCCAGTTTATTTTGGATAAAATTCTCCTTAGGCCACTTTCAGAGAATGTTTCTGTGCCGAGTAACAGCATAATTCAGTCATTCATGAAATCAAAAGAGCTTTAACAGGATTTGACCTTTTTTCTACTTTGACCATTTAAAAAATATTAATAACTTTATCATTATTCCAAATTCTAACATTTTATTCTTTGTCAACTAAAAGGAATCAACTCTTAAGATAACATCTTACTACTTTATTCTCCCTTGCTAGGTAGTATTCAAATTAGGGATTAATTTTTTGGTTTGAATTAATGTTTTTTGAATGGCTAAATAAGATTAGAAACTGACTTTCTTAGAGACAAAATTTCCTCCACCCCAGATAACACGACTTATTTTGCTGATACAATGTGTGTCTGTCTCAGAGTTACCTGATGACAATGATCAGAAGTGATTTTTTTTTTCACTTGAAATATCAATGTATCTCTCATGGAACTTTATTTTTTGGCTAGGCTCTGGGGTTAAGTGACTTGCCCAGGGTCATACAGCTAGTAAGTGTTATGTGTCTGAGGTCAGATTTGAACTCAGGTCTTCCTGAATCCAGGGCTGGCGCTCCATCCACTGCACTACCTAGCTACCCCAGAACATTTTTTAAGTTAGCATTTAAATAGCGCTAAAGTTTTGCAAATATTATCTCAATTGATTCTCACAGCAGATGCTATTATTATCCCCATTGTGCAGATGAGGAAACATGAAGTCTGAGGTTAAATGACTTGCCTAGGGTCACGCAACTAGAGACTGAGACCATATTTGAACTGACCTCTTCCTAACTCCAAGTCCAGTATTCTATCCACTGCATCATCTAGCTGCCTCTAATATAATTGTAGGTAATTTTTCAATTAAGCAATAAAGTGTATTTTTATATTACAAATTATCATAGATTTAGAGCTAGAAGGAAATTTAGAAGCTTTCTAGTCCAACCTTCATCATTTTAAAGATTAGGTAATTAATTAAGGCCTAGAAAGGTTAATTTTTTTTTTTTTTTGATGGAATGCTTTACAGATTTGTGTGTCATCCTTGCACAGGGGCTGTGCTAACCTTCCCTGAATCATTCCAATTTTAGTCAATGTGCTACCAAAGCAAGCACAAGATTAAATATCTTGTCCAAGGTTAGACAGGTAAGTAGAAGAAAGAGTTTTTGAACCTAGATTTTTTTATTCCAAATCAAGAACTTTTTATACTTCCAGATACCATTCCTTCCTGCCTCTAGAACCTTGCCCCTTTTCCTTTTTCCCTCATAACATTTTTAATATCTCCTTTACACCTGCCTGTAAATGTACTTTGCTCTTCCCTGCCTTAAAAAAAGTTAGACATCTAAGTGGTATAGTAGATAAGACTGCCAGGCCTGGAGTCAGAAAGACCTGAACTAAGTTCAAATGTGACCTCACCAGCTGTGTGACCCTGGGACTTAAACTTAAATAAGTTTCCTTATCTATAAAGTGGAGCTAATAATAAAGTCTACCTTCCAGGGTTGTTGTAAGAATCAAACGACATAACATTTGTAAAGTGCCTGACACATCACAATATTAGCACTTAATGTTTATTCTCTCCCCTGCTTCCCTTTATTCTTGATTGTTTTACCCCATCAAGCTGCTATCCTATATTTCATTCCTTTCACTGAACTCCATAGTCTGAGCCCAGTTCTTCTATATCCTCTCCACTTATTCACTTCTCAACCCTGTGCAATTTGGATTTAGTCCCTAGCACTTACTTTCACTATTTTGTAATAATGCATTTGAGGCTTGTTCTGATGTTTCACTGTGGCATGAAATTATGATGTTGAGGTCTCCAAAACTATGCCAACAACCTCTAGCAGATTCCACCAACCTGCAGTGGCTTTGAGAACTTTATGGGTATGAGGGTCTTGATGTGTTGGTTAAGGGCCTACCTAGACCAACAAAATCGGAGATCTTGAGGCAAACTTGAACTTTAATCTTAGAGTTGAAACTGATAGATTAGTTTTGTTTTATAAAAACATTTCTTAAAATAGTTTAATAAGTTAGTTTTCTAAACGTTATAATTTTTTTTAAGTGATGTCTTTCCCTAGCAGTCAGCATTGCACAATGTAAAGAGTATTGGAGTGAGTCAGGAGAGACTTGAGTCCTGTGACTGACTAAACCTAGGATTCTTATGTAACAGATCACCACTGCTCTGAACCTTTTTTTCTCATCTATAAAATTAGGATTTTGGATAGATGGACACTGATTTACCTTTCTACTCTAAAATTTTATTAGTTGAAGTGCTTGAGTACTCTGAGATGACTGACTTGTTTCCACTCTCATATTTTGGGCACTTTTGAGAGGTATCTAGGAAAACAACTTATTATTTGCTGATGAGATGGTAGGTAATTCATGAAACTTTATTTTTTATAAATATCAAAATAATTCCCAAATTGGTTCTTTTTTCTAACTTTCCTATTTCTTCCAGTGATACTGTCATGGATTTGAGACCTTTGTTATCTTTAAGTCTTTTCTCTCTTCTTTCTTATATCCAGCACATTATCTAGTTTTGTTGAATTTGCCTTTGTAATCTCTTGTATGGCGCAGTTAGGTGGCACAGCAGATAGAGTGCCAACCCTGGAGTCAGGAGGACCTGAGTTCAAATGTGGCCTTAGATACTTACTAGCTGTACTGTTTGCCTCAGTTTCCTCCTCTGTAAAATGAGCTGGAGAAGGAAATGGGAAACCAGTCCAGTATCTTTGGCAAAGGAAAAAAACAAAACACAAATGGGGTCTTGAAGAGTTGGATTGCTACTTAACAACAAAAGCCTGAATATCCTTTGTTATCTTTGAATCTTTTCTCTCTTCTTTCTTGTATCCAATATATTATCAAGTTTTGTTGATTTTTTGCCTTTGTAATTTCTTGTTATCTATCTCCTCTTTAGTCCACTTACCAACACCTATATAAGAGGCTTTAATTACTGCCACTGATGGTATTGTAGCCCCCTCAACTATTGTTTCTCAGGGTACTGGAATGCCATTTTCTGTTCCATCTTGAAATTGTACTTATGTTTCTGCCTCTTCTAGGAAGCCTTCTTTGATTCTTCAACTTGGTAATGATCTTTCTTCCTCTATGACCACATAGCCCTTAATTTGGCTTTCTTTGTATTATGCTTATTTGTGTTATATCTTTCCCTTAGATTAGGAGCACCATGAAGACACTTTTATTTTTTAATCTTTATATCTCCCCTAATGTCCAATGTAGTATAGTGTTCTGTACATGTTTAATAAAATTTTCTATGCATTAAGTTCAAGTAAGTTTTCTTCTTTAATTCAATTTTTTTCCTACTTTTTCTCAAGTCAGACTTCATTTTTTTGTACAGTTGAGTTTGGAAAAAATAAATATTGTAGCTAAGATAGTTGAGCAAAAAAAATATGATTACCATATCATAATTTTTCTTTTGAGTTAAAAGAAAATCATTATCAGTAATAGCTTCTTGACTTTTTGGCCAAGATCAAGAATTATGAGTATAGGCATTTGTAGGAACTATTTAGCATTCTCTCTTTTTAATGTTTTGCTAGCTTTTCCACAGCCAGAACTCCAAAGTATATGGTAGTGGGACAGGAAGCAAAACAATTCCCCTTTTGGATTGAATCATAGATAGGCGCTTAATATCATTTGGGGTGGGGGATGCTTCTCCAGGATAGTCTCAGGAGACCAATTCCTATTTCTCCCCCAAGTCCCTCATCAAGTCTTCATTACTTAAATTTTAATGGTTATGAATTTCTAGAACTTATGGCCATATTAAAATCTTAATACCCCAAACTCATTGTGAAACCTCATAGAAAATGTTTCTTGATTATCTGTGTTACAACTTTTTCCAGTACTACGGATAACATAGAGTTGATTTTAGGAGTCAGCAACCTTGCGCAAGGTTTTTGTTCAGAAGTTCTTAATCTTTTTTGTGTGTCATAGAGTCCTTTGGGAGTCTGTTGAACCCTAAGGACCCTTCTTAGAATGTTTTGAAACAAATAAAACAAAGTACATTAGATTACAAAGGAAACTAATAATATTGAAATAAAGATGTACTTTCTTTTTCCTATCCAAGTGGACATACACCTTAAATCTGTCTATGGAAAAGGTATCTGCAAACCAGGTTAAGAATCCCTGCATGGATGTCATACTGGCTTCATTACAAAATTATTACTTCGGTAGCAGTCATATACATGCATATGTGTGTGTGTGTGTGTGTGTATACATATATAAGCATGTATATATACATAGACACAAGTATATATATATATATATATATATATATATATAAAGAGAGAGAGCACATCAGTAAACATCTGAAATTTTTTATCATCAAAAGTGAAGTTCTTTGCCTGGGTTGAAGTCAAGAGACCTGACAAGTCCCAACTTTAGGTCTAACATAGTACAACAAATCCTTCTGTGCTTCAATTTCACCAGTTTGTAAAAAGAAGACATTAAACCAGGTGATCTTCTAGGCCTCCTCCTACTTCTAAAAATTTGTTTCTCAGGATAGCAAGGATATGAGTAAGATAACAAACTGAAATTTAGTTATCCGAAGCAATTAAATTCTTAATGGTTTCTTTTAACCAAATGTTAAACAAATTATATAAAAATTGAAAACCAAGTGAGGGGCCCCTAAGTTGGGGAAGAGCTGAACAATCATGGTATTTGAATATAATTGAATATTAGTGTTTTTATTTAAAAAATGACAGTGGACAAATGATTTCAAAGAATCTGGGGGAGCCTTGAAGAGCAGACTGAAGAAAGTAGGACAATACAATGATTACATTACTGTTAATGAAAACAATACTAGAACTGCACTTGGAATTAATTGTAGTGAAGAATATTGTCTCTAGAGTGCAGAAGGTGTAGCCATATTACTCATTTTCACTGAGAACTGGGCAACTATGGGTATAAAATGTAGCATGTAAGTTACTTTGCCACCCAGTTATCCTTAACTATTTTTCTTTGTTACGTAGGAGAAAATGACTAATACAGAGGCATCAATAAGAAGTAGTAGGAAAAAATCAAATGAGATAATGTGTATAAAGTCCTGTATATTTCCAAAAGTGTCATAAATGTAAATTTTAAATTGCGGGTAATTAATATATACATGTTAAGAATTAATTAAAATAACCCAGCAAAAGTTAATGTGAAACTTTGTTTTTCTATGAGTAGTGTCAGTGAGTAAAATGCTTAGGGAAAAAAAAATCTGTAGTGCATTTATTAGGAGGTCTTTGAATTTTAATTAAAAATTAAAATAGTACCTTTTAAATAATTATGCTAATTTAGGTCTCATGATTTGTTTGATTGTTTCAGGATGCTTATTTAATGAAATAGTGCCATAGATTGAAAAACGTAAACATGAGGATGGCAGGTAAGATAATTATTTCATTGGTACTTGCATTATTTTGGAAATAAATCTTATTGTTCCTTAATGAATAAAAAGATTAGGAGGTTTTTTTTTAATTCCTTGTCTCTAAGAAAGGATCTGAAATAAATGATGAAATGTCAACTGAAACGTCATCTGAGAAATTTGCTTGTTTTCATTTGTAAAAATTTTTGCTGCAAGTATAGCAGTAAGGTTTTTGAGTCTTCTCTTTCTCCTTTATTGAAGCTTGTTGAGAGATAGGTGTCTTAAAGTTTAAAATTTCAGTATTTTCTATTTGTATACAATAAATTTAAATCAAATCAACATTTAGTAAACATTTAATATCTTCAAGGCCTAGAACTTGTTACAGGAGTTTTTGTTCTTAAAGAGTTTACCTTCTCCTGAGGGACTGTAGCTTGTACAATGTAAGTAAAGTCAAAGTGATACAAAATGACTTCAGGGGAGAGCTTGCTGATGATTGGAGAGATCAGGACAGACATAGCAGGTAGCACCTGAGCTATGCTTTGAAGGAAGCTAGGAAATGTACAATGTAGAGATGAAGCAGGTAGTCCAGTCAGTCAAGAAACATTTATCAAGTGCCCACTTGTATAGTAGAGAGTAATATATAAAAAGACTAAAAAGATAGAGGGGTAGGTTTAACTTAATTTAAATGCCAAATAGAGGAGATTATATTTGATACTAAAGGAAACAGGGAGTCACTGGTGTTTCAGTAGGGAGTAACATTGTCACAACCCTAAGAGGAAAATGTATTAGGTGGCTGTATAGAGGATGAATTAAAATAGCAATAGATTTTTTTCCCCCAATGAATAAGCATTTATTTTCTTTCTCTCTCCATCTCTCATATTGAAAAGAAAAAAAAACCTTGTAATAAATATTCATAGTCAAGCAAAACATATTCTCACTTTGGTCATGTGAAGAGAGACAAGGTAGGATATACAATGTCATGTTTGAGAAACAGCTGGCAGACTACTTTAAAAAGGTGGAGAGTATGTGAAGAGGACAGATGTTCAAGAAGACTAGAAAGATAGGTAAAAGGCTTGAAGTGCCAGGCTGAGGTAATCATGTGTTATTCTAGAAACAACAGGGAGCCATAGAAGATTTTTTTTAAAGTAGCGGGCAGGGCATGATGAGAATTGTGTTTTAGGATTATCAGTCTGGAAGCTGTATGGAAGATGGGTTGAAGAGGGAAGAAACTGGAATCAGGGAGACAATTTAGGAGGAAGCTGTTGTAGTAGGCCAAATGAGAGTTGATAAGATTCTGTACTAGGATAGATAAAACCTTTGTAAGTAATTGGAAAGAAGTAGGATATGAACAGTGATAGAGAGCTAGAATTGACAAAACTTGGTATTTGGATATAGAGATTCAGAGAAAGGAAAGAATCAAGAATGAGTATAGAAAGATGATGATGCCTTCAATAGAAATTGGGGCATTAGGAGAAGGGATGATTTTAGGGAAAAGAAGTGCCCTTTTTTGGACATGTTGAGTGTGTGAAGTTACTGGGACATTTAAGTGGGGATGAAGATCAGGAGAGATTAGAAATAGATATAGACTTGGTAGTCATCTACATAGAAATCATTGAACCTATGGGAGCAAGAAGAGATTGCCAAGGAAGAGTGTCAAGAGAGAAGAGAAGGCGGCCCAGGACAGAGCCGTGGGGGATGTTCACACTTAGAGAGCAAGAGAAAGTGATCCAGCAGTGGAGACAGAATCTCAGCCTTCAGGCAAGTGGGAAAACTGAGTAGTGTTATAGAAGCCTACATGGGAAAGGATGCCTGGGGAGACGTGAGGAGAGAGGTTGGTGCAGAGAAATCAAGGATGAGGATGGAAAAAAGTTCATTGAATTTAGTAGTAATTTTGGAGAAAGCAATGAAAGATGGAATAGGGAGCTGGATTGCAAAGGATTAATGAATGTTAACAACCCTTTATAGGATGAACTAATACAATGACATATGTGGAGAGTTCAGTAAAATACATACGTAAGGAATAAATAGGGCTGGTGACTAGATATTTCGCAGTAAAAATTTTTATCTGTTAGAGAGACTAGGGAAAGCATTATTAAATAATTATTTACACAAAATGTTAAAGTATAAAAATGGTTTTTATTAAGGACTGTAAGTATAAAACAATACATTGTTTCATAGATAGTTGGAGGGATGTGGGGTATCTTAGTGATCAGGTTGGTCTTCTATTTCCTTGTTTTGCTTGGTATCTTCTTTAACTTTACATTGAAACCATGTTTCTTTTCTGTGGATTGCCTGTGCTCTGGAGGTTGCTGCTGCTCTTAAATACCAGCCCAGCATAGAGATTAGGTAATTTTAATTACCTATTATCTCATAGGCAAACAATAAATAGTGTTCCTAGGGGATACTTCTCAGAAGTATCAAAGATGTGTTAGAACAAACAAGTCATTAAATAATGTAATTTTTAATAGGAAGGGACTTTAGAAATTATCTGTCTCAACCCCTCATTTTACAAACATGGAAATTAAGGTTTAGAGAGGTAGTGATTTCCTCTAAGTAACCTGGATTTATCTAGTGGCAGAGCTGGGGCTAGAACCCAGGCCTTTCTTGACTCCAGTGCCTTTTCTTTTTTCTTTTTTTTTTCTTTTTTTAGGCAATTGGGGTTAAGTGGCTTGCCCAGGCTCACACAGCTAGTAAGTATCAAGTGTTTGGTCTGAGGCCGGATTTGAACTCAGGTCCTCCTGACTTCAGGGCCCATGCTGTATCCACTGTGCCACCTAGCTGCCCCTCCAGTGCCTTTTCTTTTACAGTGCTGATCACTAAGGGATACATTAATAAAAAATTTGTTGATTTTTAATTAAGCTATTTTTAGAAATGCTTTTTATAAAACAACAAAAAACCTATCATTTTAAAAGAGATTAATGCTCAAATATACTTCAGGGATCTCTGATTTTGTTGATATAGGTATTCCTTTCCCTGTCACAACATGACTTAGTAGATGGCCTTGGAGATATGTTGTGGCTGAACAATTTTTCTCTATTTGCCTACCCCGATGATTAGCCTTCTCAAATTTAACTATTCTAAGACTTGGGCACCAGCATAGATCTGGCACTGCACTAGTACTTGAAGCCTTTCTCATTTGCTTTCCAGGGTCACCTTTGGGCCTATCAATAGAACTTATGGAAGAAAGCTCAAATATAAATGTGTTATCATTAAATCTTTTTTTTTTTTTTGGACTGGACCTATGATTTCATTGATAGGTAATTTCTTGTGAAGAAACTTGATGTACCAATGTAATTATTCTTCAATTTATAGTAGGTAAATATATATATATATATATTTATCTATTAAAGATTTACGAAAGATCACATAGCCAGTGTGTTTCAGAGGCAGGAGCTAAACTCGTCTTGTTGATTTAGAGTTTCAGCTCTCTGTTCACTGTGCTACGTTGCCTCTTGTAGAAATAATAAATTTAAATTTTATTTCAGATGTGTTTAATCTTGAGAAGTTTCATGTATATAAATATATGACTAAATCCCTTGAGTTGTAGGGATTGTTTGACTCTCTATATCCCAGTGCCTGGTGCATAGTAAATGCTTAATAAGTGCTTGTTGATCAATAGATAAAGCAAATTTTAGGCAGTAGCACTTGGCACATCTGTAGGTGTTTAGTAAATGCTTGTTGACTCACTAGAGAGAAGGTCAGCCTCTGTCAGCCCCAGGGAGTTTCCTCCCAGGCCTAGGAAGCTAGAGGCTCAATGTGTGAAAACCAGAGGAAGTGGCTTAAAGCCTTTTTTTTTCCTAGTACCTTTGCTCTTCTTCCATGCCCTGTTCCTCATTTTTCCATGTGACCAGTCCTCTGGCTGCCCAACACCTATCCTTTACTAAAGAGAAGCAGTTTTGCTTCTTCCTCTTCCTCCAGCTCCACAGGCTTCCTGTCTGAAACCAAAGGCCCAAGTTGTTCCTGGTTTGGGCATAACATCTGTTGGAGAAGCAAGGAGGGCATACCTCTTGGGTATCTTTGGTTCACCCTTTCTGAAAGTTTTTAGAAGGGCCTTAGAGTAACTTCTTGTCCCACCCATTCATCATCTCTCCTTCCGCAGTTGACTGTAGAAATGGTATCCTTATTTAGCTCATACAACCCTTCTAATTTTTCCTAGACTAGTTCCTACCCCGTGTATCCTTTTTTTTTTTTTTTTTTAAAGTTATATTGCTGATTGGGTTGTTGAAGTAGCTAGGTGACATAGTGAGTGGATGGAGCACAGGGCCTGGAGTCAGAAAGACATGAGCTCAGCCCTAGCCTCTGGCTTTCTAGCTGTGTGACCCTGAGGATAGTAGTAGTACTTACCTTGCAGGGCTGTTGGGCAGATCAAATGAGATAATATTTGTAAAGGCTTAGCACAGTGCTTAGCACTTAGTAGGAACTTAATAAATGCATATTCTTTTTACCTTCTTCTTCCTTTTCCTGCTCATTAGATAATGGTGACCCTTGGTTTCTTCTTCCTTTGCCTAGTGTCAAAGGATACCCTTTCTCAAAAGCAGTGTTCTGTCCTGCTTGGAGAAACCTGGAGAAAATTCTTCTCACTCCACTGCTTGATGTCTGCTTCCAACTGTGCCTTTAAAGCTCTAGCTCTGAGGGAACTAAAAACAAAAGCAGTCTCCCAAAATGACAAAACACGATTGTAGTGGGTTTTGAAGCAGAGTTGGGGGACTAGAGGATAGTGGGACAAGGTTTAAGATCATTAGTGGTAGCCAGTAAAAAGTTATCACTTCCCTGCCTGCCAAGGTTGGTATAGCCAATATAACTTACTACCATTCAGTAACTTGTTCTGTACTTTATTACCTTGTTTAACAGTATAAATAGTTATTCACACTGCCTCTCAGGTTGTGTTGTAATATTCTTCTAATGTGTTACCTTGTATATAGGAAAATGATTCTACTGGTTATCACTTAAATGTTTTTTCCAGTAATAATAAAACATTTATTGTAGTGGTCATACACAAGTGTTCTCAGTGATTTTTTTTTTTAAGTGAGGCAGTCGGGGTTAAGTGACTTGCCCAAGGTCACACAACTAGTACGGGTCAAGTGTTTGGTCTGAGGCCGAATTTGAACTCGGGTCCTCCTGACTACAGGGCCGGTGTTCTATCCACTGCGCCACCTAGCTGCCCCCCTCAGTGATTTTTAATGAACATTTTTGCCCTGGATACTTTAGTAGGCTAGATAGGTTTAACATGGTTAAAAATTATTTGAGCCCATCATTCTACTTGCTGGCTTTTATTCACTGATCATTGTATTGTGATTTGTGATTATTTATGCTGCACTTAGGATTCCACACTCTTGTTTAAAAAAAAAAAGATAATATGAACATTTTATGAAATTACTTAACTGTTCCTTATTCTTTAGGTGCTGTAAAGTTGGTGGTTGCTGTAGCAGTATTTCTACTGACATTTTATGTTATATCTCAAGTATTTGAAATAAAGCTAGATTCAAATTTAGGAAATTTATTTGGTAAGTTTCTTCTGTTTCTTTTTAACTTTTATTCTTTATAACATGTAGTTTACAAGTTTTCCTTACTCTGAGTTGCTGTTTTATTTTATCTGTTCTAAAAAAAGTAAATTTGGTTATGTTATTTTGATCCTTTGTAATACTGAAATGCAAATAATAGTGACTTTTAAAATCACCACATACAAAGTATAGATAATTCAACTACTATTCATGGAACATATATTACGTGCAAGGTGATGTCATAGAAGGGAACAAAATTGGAATATATGTTCTCAGTGTTCCTGAGGTGGGGGGAACTTTTTTTTAAATTTTGAAAAAGAAATTCAGTAATTTTTTTTAAATGAACAAAAATTCATTTTCTCTACCCATCCACCTTGGGGGGGATAAAGGAAGAAAAAGAAAACCCTTGTAATGGTTATGCATAGTCAGAAAAACAATTCCCCTAATTGGTTGCAATATGTGTGTGTTGTATATGTAGGTGTCTATATCTATGTATGTGTATAGATCGAGATAGAGATATATATCCAGATATATATATATACTCATATGCATATGAGGGTGTGTATTTCTGTATTTTGAGTCCATTACTTTTGTCAGGCAGTAAGTAAATGCATGTGCATATAGATATATATGTCATTCTGTATTTTGAGTATATTACCTTTCTCAGGCTAATAGGTGGTAGCCTGCTTTATCAGTGGTCTTCTAGAATCATGGTTGGTCACTGGGTTGATCAGGGTTCTTAAGATCAAAGTTGTTTGTCATTACAATGTTGTTGTTATTGTTAAATTGTTCCAATTTTGTTCACTTCATTCTGCATCAGATCACACAGATCTTCCCAAGCGATACTGAAACTGTCCCTTTCATCATCTCTTATGGTACAGTTCATTCCATTCCATTCATTACTGTAATCCATTTAGCTTTTCCTCAGTTGATAGACTCTCCTTTAGTTTTCAGTTCTTTTTGTATTTAAAACAGCTATTTTAAAAATTACTGAATTTCAGCATGTAGTTAGCACAAAGTGTATTTCCCCAAATAACCAGTCATAAAGACTACAATTTAAATATTTACATGCTTAAAAAATGGAAAGAATATATTAGTTTGAGTATATAACTCATTCAAGCTCTGGAAGCTAGATAAATCCAAGTTTGTTACTGAATCACCAGAACATATTAGAACACGTTTACCAGAGACTTATGGTATTTGAAGACAAAAGGTGTTGGTCTTATTTGTAGATTCTCATAGTTATAATGGGGTAATCATTTAGCTGAGGCATTGTTTGAAACAGTTTTATACCATCAGTGAAAATATGAAGCTGGATAAAACAAGGCTTTGACCTTATATGCTTGGAGTGAAAGTAGCACTGTTGATTCAGGAGAGACTCAGTACCTTCGGAGATTGTCTATCTAGTCTAATCTTCTACCCAACTTGAAAATCCTTTTTATAATAGCTGACAGATATAGTAATTAGTTCCTATTGGAACCCTTTCAATGATGGGAAGCTGACTTAAAAAAAAGAAATGGATTTGTCTTTTAAGTTAAACATGCCTAATTGATAGCTTTTATAATTATGAGTTGAAATCTGCCTACTTGTATGTTTTACCTATTAGTCTTTTTTCTGTCCTTTGGAGCCACACAAAATAAACTTGATCCTTGTTTCACATGACAGCACTTTAGTTATTTAAGGATCATGATCATATGTCCCCTAATGCTGTTCTTCTGCAAGCTAAATATCCCAGTTTCCTTTAACCCTTTTACATATGACTTGGTTTCCAGACTTTTCACTGTCCTGCTTGATACTCTGGATCATGTTTAGCCGAGAAAAGTAGGTAGTAAATTAGATCTCAGAATCATGATTCAAATAGGTGTTATCAGATGTTTGACAGCAGGCCATACCTAGTAAGATGAAATATAATAGGGGTAAATGTTAAGTCCTACACTTAAGCTTTTAAAGAAAAAATACTGCTTGGCTGTAGAACAGGGTTTTAGTTTACTGAAAGCTCAATGTTCGTCAACGTCAATAAAAATAGAATCTAGAGCAAGGAAAGTTATAGTCCCATTGTATTTTGTACTGTGATCAGATCACCCCTATAGCATTCTGTTCAGTACATTTTAAAAGGAACATTGCCAATGCTAAGGCAAATCTTTAATTCCTCCCTAATTGATTCCCAGTCTGACTCCTCACAGAAACTATTTCAACTTTCTCTTCCCTCTTTAAGCATTGCATATCCCTCCCTCCTATATCTCAGCCAAGACAATGCCTCTTTACCAAGAAAACTGAGACCAGAAAGCTCAAGCTTTCTCCATTCTGTTTATCTGAAAACCGCTTGACATAATTTCTGACTCTACTTCTTTCTCTCACTAAGAGGTGGCCTTTCTCCTTGCCAAGGCCAACATTTCTACATGTATGCTTTTATCTTCTCCACTTCTCTCTTCTCCAGTGGGTTATGTTCGTACTCACCTATCCCCATTCTCCTACACTGCCCAATCTTCAACTTCTCCCAATCACCTTATTCCTTTCCTTCTGCCTTCAGACATGCCCAAGCCTTCTCCATCCTTAACAACACAGAAAAAAGCCCTTCACTGGACCCTATCATCCTCTCATGTTATCACTTTTATCTCTTCCCCTTTACTTAGCCAGACTCCTTTAAAAAACCATCTATACATGCTGCTTCCACTTCCTGTCATCTTATTCCTCAGTGCTTTGCAGTCTGAGAAGCCAGAATCTGGCAGATGAAAGATGAAATGACCGAGAAAAACAAAGGTTCGATCTTCCAAACATATTGATTTATGAAGCAGTGCATGTCAGTTGTCCAACATATCAGGACCAGGCCCCTTCCTTAACTGAGGTTGGACCTTGAATACAGGGGCAGACAGACTTTTATACATTAAAAACAATCAACTAAAACAAATTAGTTAAAAGGAAACAATACAGCATTAGGTAGTCTGATTTCTAATTGGAGGAAAGACTAGGGACTTTCCATTTTGGGAGGGGGAGGGTAAATAAGTACAATTCCCTGAATTCAGAAAAAGAGGTGTCCCACTCCCTCCAAGTGGCTGGAAATAGGCAAAGGAACATAGAAACAATAATGGATCAGTATGGGGTCAGTTTTCAAATAAGGCATGGGTTGTTTGAGATGTACAATTGTGAGAAAACTTTTTGCATCAGTCTCTGTGTCTGACTCGGTTTCTGATCAGCATAACCTAGGTCCTTAGTTAGGGATCTCTAAGCAGCAGATAGAGGTGTTCCAGCTTCCCAGCCATGTAAAGTTAGGTTCAGACAGTGCAGTAACATTTTCTCTCAATTCCCACAATTGAATAAGGTTTTCTCACAAAATAGAGGTTGGACTAGACCCATAATTGAATAGAAAGAGAAAGCTCCAGAATTGAGTCATAAGATGGAGTTAATGTGGTTCACCCAGTTCCCACAATAAACTACTTTCTGTCCTAATTCCCTGACTTGTGACCTCATGGTTCAATTAAATCTACTTTCTCTGAAGTTAGTAATGATCTTTTAATTGCCAAGTCTGTTGGTCTTTTCTAAGTTTTAATACTTCTCATCCTATCTGCTGCCTCTGGCACTGTAGAGCATTTCTCCTTTTACATAGTTTTTCCTCTCTGGGTTTTCATGACACTACTCCCTCCTGGTTTGGTTTCTGTCTGTCTGACTGCTCTTTTGCTGGCTCATCATCCATATCACATAACTCTGTATATCATCCATATCACATAACTCTGTATACCTTCTCCATGGTTCTGTCCTAGGCCCTCTTCTCCCTCTGTATTCTTCGTCTTGGTAACCTAATCAGAAAAAGTCACAGAAACAGAGACAACACAGGCACAAGGACATATAGGCAGACACTAACAAGTGGTCAGAAAAACAAACACACAGGCAGATAGACATATGTGGACAGACAGACACAACATAGATGCACACAGACATGGTTGTGTCTATCTGTGTATCTGTCTCTGGTCTAAATAATAATATTTATTAAGATTTATAAATATGTGTAGGAGCTGTTGCAGTATAGCTTATCTATCCATATATATGTGTATACATATGTGTATATATATGTTCATGTGTGTATATTATGTGTGTACATTTTATTCATGTGCCTTTGTGTGTATATTGGATGTATGTCTATTCATCTATATCTCTATGTCACCAGCCTCAGTCTTTCTCTTGAGCTTCCACCCTGCATCACCAGTTATTTATTGAACATCTCAAACTAGAATTCCCCAGAAGACATTGCAAACTCCAAAACAGAACTCATTATCTTTTATTATAAACCCTCTCCTTTTTGAAATTTCTTTATTCTGGTCTCTTGGGTTTATAACCTCAGCATTATTCTCAATTGCCTCACCCTTCCTCATCCCATATATCCATTCAGTTGCAAAATTTTGTAATATTCTTTGTGTCCTACTCCTTTTCCACACACACACACACACACACACACACACACACACACACACACACAC